ATGGCCTTCTCGTTAACGACTCTTTTGTTGCATCCTTGCCAGATCACTGCAAAACCGATTGCCCGGGTCACCTGAGCTATATAACGCCAACCATCCCCCGTGTGCAGGTTGTCTGGGATGCCGCCCAGCAACACCCAGTCTTTATTCCATGGCATGGCCTTGTTTGAAACCTGGTCCCATTGCTTGGACCACCATCTCCACACCCGTTCTGGGGCTGGGCAGTCCCACCATAGGTGGACTGTCGACTCATATGCCCATTGGCACCGCTTGCAAGCCGTGTCAACTCTCATGCCCCTTTCTGACAGCCAGACCGCCGAAGGGGTGGCTAGCAGAGATAGGAGCCATAACGTAGCTGCCAGTCGCTGACTGGGGATCTGTGCGAGCTGTGTCCAGCATCTCAGCAAGGCCTTGAGTACTTGCTCCGGTTCCGTGTGCAGAACCTTAACCCAGCGCTCGGTAGCTACTGTTTTGGGTGCTTTGTCGCTCTTTTGGGTCTGAGTCAGCCTTGTCTGTATACCAAGAACCGGGAGGGTCTATTCCCTCCGGACTTAGGCGTGCAGACCAGGCTGGGGGAATCGCCCTGACAATTGCTCCCAGTTTCTCTTCGATTGCTCTTACATTCCCCACTTTTTGTCTCAACTCCTGCGGAGAGATCCAACTTCCCCGGAATTCGTCCCAGATGTCTTTGACACAAGATGCTCCTCTTTCTATCCACATTCTGCCAAAGCTCCCTCCCGCTCTGTCTGCTGCAAACCAATTGCTGTCCTTGTCCCTGATTATTGGATTCTCGAAGATGCTCTGTTGTAAAATTTCCTGTTTGGTCTTTGGTTCTTCCCAAAGATCCAGTTTCACCTTCCGCCAGGCCTTCAGAAAGCCCGTCCACAGCTCTGATTGAATCGGTCTTCGCAGATACGAATCTATCCAAAGGCAAACCCGCACGTCCTCTGTTCGCTCTAAGGGCCAACTCCTCGTCAGTGTGGCTTCTGCAAGACTAACCCAATGTTCATCTGAGGTGGCCTGCATGGCCCATATTACCCAGTGAGATAGCATGGCAGTGTTCTGTTTACCTGGATCTCTCAAACCCAATACTCCCTCTTCTCGTTTGCAGTAGATTGTGTCCCAAGCTACTTTGGAGAGGAACCCCTCAGTTTCTTTTCCAAATGGCTTCAAGATAAAGTGTGCCGCTCTTCTCCTCACTACCGATTGAGCCTTCGTTCTTAGTGGTCTGATCTTCCCCACATACCAAAGGAGGGCGAAGAGAGCAGCATTGACCACCAGGGCTCTGCCAAGGAGCGACAAGGGGGGGCTTTTTCCCACGTGGAAAGTCGCTGCATTACTTTCTGTTGGAGTAGCTCATCTTGATCTGCTGCGCACGACAGCATGGCAACTTGAACTCCTAAGAACCCTCCGACTGATTCTCTTCAACTTGTTTCATGCCCCACTGGACTTTCAGGGAGTGGGGGCTTGGTAACAGGTATGTCGACTTCGACCAAGTGATTGCCACCTCAGATAATTCCTCGTAGTCCTTCAAACAGGCTCGCAGAGCGGTCAGCATTGTCTGTGTTCTCGACGACAGCAAACAGATCGTCCGCAAGAGCCTTGACTCTGCAGTCTCTGGTGCCTGCTGTGATGCCACGAATGTCTCTGTGCGCTCTAATGTTGTTCAGAATCGTCTCTAGCTGAATTACGAAGAGAAGGGGGGCTACTGGGCACCCCTGTCTCAAGGATCTAGAGAGTTCTAAAGATTTGGAGAAGTGGCCATTGATCATCACTGAGGCCATTGAGGAGTACATAACTATTACCCACCTACAGAAGTTCTCCCCGAAACCTATCCACCTGAGAGTGGTAAGGACATATGACCAGTTTACCCGGTCATATGCCTTTTCCATGTCCAACAGCAACACTGCAACATCCAAATTTCCCTCCTGAATAGTCTCCATTGCCTCAATAGCAGTAGTAACATTGATAAATATTGATCTACCCTTAACAACCGCCACCTCGTCCTCTAGAATTAGATTTGGCAGGTATCTAGTGACCCTTCTTGCCAGAATCTTCGCGAGAACCTTATATGCAACGTTTAGCGGAGAGATAGGTCTCCAGTTGTGAATTTCACTCTTATCTCCCTTCTTAAATAAGACAAAAATAATGTCGTTGCAAGCGTTTCTCGGGAGCTTCCCGCCTGTTAAATTTTGTTGTAGATATTGACCAGATCCTCCCCCATAGCTGGCCAGAAGGTGGAATAAAATTCCACCGTCAGACCATTGTCACCAGGTACCTTGCCCTTTGCCATATCCTTCAGTGTCTCTTTGGCCTCCTCTAACGAAACAGGCCTGTCTAGGTCATGGTGGCCGTGCTGGGGTAGTCTGACTTGAAAGTTCAACCAATGATTGTTGTTATGAGACAGGTCGCAGTCTGCTCCCTTTTCAGGCCTCGTCGAAGATAGGATATCTTGATAGTAGCATGCAGCGTAGGAGCAGAGACCTTGTGGAGCTGTTGCCTTCAGTTCCGTGTCGCAGAAGGGGTGCATCAATTCCTTCATGGGGTTCGTCGTTCTTCTTGGCAGGAGCTTTTGGAAGGATTCTTTTGTCATTCTGTTGTAGACTATTATGCCTTTGACCTTCAGCCTTTCTGACCACATTTCCGCCTTCTCCTGTTGCAATCGATCCCATTCTTCCAGTCTCCTTGCTCGTTCCTTTCCCCATACTGCTTCTGAGATGGGTTGTTCCTTCATCCTCGGTTCCGCATACTCCACCCTCCTCTTGCATGTCCTCTCTTCCTTGTTCCTTTCTGCTGCTTTGACCTTGGAGAAGACGTTCAGTAGGTTTGACAAGATTTTTGACCCTATTTCCCACCAGTCGGCCAGGGAGCGGAATTGTTCCTTTCTGCGGGACCATCTCTCCCAGAAACTGAGAGTCCAGTTTCTCAAATTCGGGTCCTTTAGATTTTCGGTATTTAACCGAAAGTATCCCTTCCCAAAAACCTACTCCTCCCCAATTTTGAACTCTGCAAGTACTGGTGTATGGTCTGAAAGTGATTGGTTGTGATTACTGATCCTAACGCGTGCTTCCATCCGTGCTTCATTTACTAAGAAATAATCCATTCTTCTACCTTTCCCCTGGTTTGAGTACCACGTGTACCCTCTATCTAACGGGTGCGTCAGTCTGAACGGATCCAGGAGGTGTAACTCCGACATGAAGTCTGTGACTAGGGAAATACCCTTGGCAGCGTCTCTTCCTCCAATTTCTCTGTTCTCATCTAAGGTTGGAGTCCCCCAGGATTATCAGATTATACACATCTGGCATGCAGAATAAGAGGTCGTTCATAAAACTCGCCCGGTCTTTCTTTTTGACAGGGGCATAGACAGTAGCGATCGCCCACTCCTTCTGCCCTCTGCCCAGTTTCAACCACGCCCATCTTCCCCATAGGTCAGCGTAGTGGTCTATTATCTCCACTCCCACGTTCCTGTGAAGCAGGATTGCTACTCCACTCGAGCCTATGGCTGGGGACCAGACATGAGGACCGTCCCACCAATTGCCGAGCTTTTGCATTTTTTTTTCGTTTAATTTTGTTTCCTGCAAACAGGTTATTGAGACGTGGTTTTCATGAATCCATTTCTTTAATCTCACCTTCTTTCCCCTCCCCGCTGTGTCTCCCATACCGCAGATGTTCCATGAGGTGATACTTAATCCAACCATTAATTCTAATTCCACTTGCTGATTGGATGTGGGACACGATGTGTTCGGCTTGTCAGTTCACTCCCTAACTCCCGCTCCCCCGGCCACGCTTTCGTGAGTGCATCTTTGACAAACTGTGAATCCAACCTCTTGTCCTTGTGAAGCCTAATCTTCAGCTCTGCCATACAATCTGCGGGTAGCCAAGTCCTGCTTCCTGCCTTCTATAAACCCAGCGATCGGCCTAATCTTCTATAAATACTGGTCAAGCCCAATCCCTCTAAGCGAATGAGAGCCTCCAGTGTGAACCTAGCATCAATCAGTGGGACAAAGAGCTTGACCTTTTGCCCCTGTACATCCGTAATTATTCTCGCCATAGGGCAGTCTGGAATAATTCTAACCGGGAAGTAATCCAAGAATAGCACCCTCAAGGCTTGACTTATCGTCTCGGGTGTGGGCACGTCTGTTACCTGATGTGACAGTACTGTAAGCGAGCATGTGGCAGTTTGTCACATGACTGCCCACATCCCATTGCCGGTGTGAATACCCTGACAAGGGTATCCACGGTAGTTTTTGCATGTAACAGGAAGTAAGTTTGAAGATCTAAATGTGCCGGGCGAGTCGCGGCAGAATTTGTTGAGTTACGCTAATAGGACGATTGACTAGGAGCAAAGTGTGTGTGAGCGCGCAGTTTTGAGGCACGCGCGATGGTTTTTTCTCTTGATACCGTAGAGTCGGCATGCCCGCCAACAACATTTTTTTTGATTAAGGCTAGGAAAAGTCTTGCATATTTGAATTGACCATGGTGCACCTGCGTTCATACGGCGTGCGCCATCGAGGGTGGTTTTGCTAGGTGGCGGCACGATTAAGGCCTATTTGAATTGCTGCCGGTGCGACGGCAGCCAAAGGGAGAAATTTACCCCTTCATATAGCAAGGGCCAGTGCGTAGGTACCGTAGACGTAGGTTTAGGCCTCCGCGCGGTATTATGGGGGCCACAAGTGTGACGTGTCGAGCAAGGACCCGGCCCCTAACCGCATGAGCGCGCGTACGGGGCCATGGATTTGAATGGGAAATCAAGCAGCAGCCATAACGCTGCTGCTGCAGGCCCAGGCTGGCCACAGTTACCGTTTACATACTGGGTGGCACTCAACCAATCCAGGCTGCGGCTTAGCCCTATAGGTTGCATCACTGTGTTTTCACCAGGTAGATCTCGGGATCGAGTCCAGCAGCGAGCAGCGAAGGAGCGCCGTGGAGGAAGGCTGAGGGGTTGAGGGCCTATCCCCCTTAGTTTTTGCTGGGGAGTCCGGCTACGGGCCAGATGGGCGGGGTTGGACGGTCCTTCCCCTTTCAACCACCCCCGCGAAACTTAAGTTTTCTATGCCTTGTCCTTTTTTATTTTGTGCTAATTTCTGTTAGACGAGCTTATGGCTGCCAGACAGCTGCAGGAAGTTACTCGGAAGACGGTGGAAGCCCAGGCAAGAGAAGAGGTTGCCACGCTGACAGGGCTAGTGGAGGATAGGGAGAGCAGAATTGCAGAGCTGCAGGAGGAGGTGGGGAGATGCTGCGGGCTGCTGGAAGAGGAGAAGAGGAGAAACGAAAGACTGACCGATGTGCTGGGAGTGCTCGAGAGCCAAGTGGCAATTGTCAAAGGGAGAGAGGAGACGCACATGGCAGCACTTGAAAGGCTTGTTAAGGATGTGCAAGAGAAGAATCGGATGCTGATGCGACATGCAGAAGAGTCCGCAAGGGAGATGCGGGAGCAGAGGGAGGTGTATACGCAGCTGGAGAGGGAGATGCAGCGGAGCCGGGAGAGGGCTAGGAACGTGGAGGAGTTTGATCAGGGTGCACAGACAAGGCGAGGCGAAGGACAGAGAAATGGCGAGGCAGAAGGTGGAGATTGCCGAACTCAATCACGAGCTTGCGGACGTCAGAGACAAACTTGACAGGAGAGAAGAGGACGTCAAGCGACTCCGTGACAAGATTGAGGCAATCTCCGAGATACCAGGATGTCTGAGAAAGACCCAGGCAATGGTGGAACGGATTGACAGAGAGATGAAGGTGGCAGAGGAGAGATGGAGGTGTGCTGTGCACAGGGGGGACAATCTGTCCATCTTATTTTTGGGACACGGCCAGGTGCCGGTACCAGGACCGGCTGTGAGGGCCTGGGAGCCTGGCTCAGGGAGTACATCTATGAACTGTTGAAATACAGGCCTGGGTATTAATTCCATTGAAACCAGATGAGTCAAGATGCTGCAAATATGAATTACTTAGGACAGTCGGTCCCGTGGACCTGACCTTGGGAGGGCTATCAGTCATGGAACCAGCAAGAGCCAGCAGCCTGATACAGTTGGTACGCCCATGAACTGTCGAAAATACAGACCGGGGTTTACGGCGAATGTTCTATTTTATTTATTTATTTATTTATTTATTTATTTGTCCTATTTATCTTCGTTCACGAGAATTCTTGCGCAAATTTGTGGATGGCACCGTGTTACCAGCAAAGTATCAACCCACCATTTGCTGCAGGTAGGCAGGGCCTTGCCCCATCTGAAAAGTTACTGCGGTGCATCCCTCTCGGGACCCGAAAGAAGGACTGTGCCGCGGGCACAGCCTGCCAGAAGGCACCAGTGGGGGGGACTGCCGCAGTCATGGCTGTGCGGCGAGGCTGTCCCAGGGGTTGTTCCACGGGATGCCTCCACTCCTCAGCCTTCAGAGTCCCTTTTGATATATATGCTACTACCACCAAGATCTGCACCGGACCCGCTTCACTTGGCTATATGCTGTTGGTTGTGCAACAGGCCTGTGCCATTAACCCGTAGGCCAGGACCAGATACAGACGGTCCTCTCCCCCCCACCCCGTTTTTCTTTACTACTTTCCATCTCTAAGTTTTTAATTTTTATTTTTCCTGTTTCTGGTTTTTTTGGGACAGGATGCGGTTCCGGTACCGGGACCTACGATGAGGCCCAGCGGCCTAGTTCACCCACGAACTGCTGCTGAGGTGAAGTCCTTCGGGACACCCGTGAAAATTGGGACGATACAGAGAAGATAAGCAAGTATGGCTCCTGCGACGCGGTAGAGTATAAAGTCGGAAGGCAGCGGGACATCTCGGTTCTGCCGATTGCTGGGTGCACACTCAGTCGAACCTTTCACCGGGCGCTGCGCTAGCAGCAACGGGCAGGGGGAGGACGGTCGGGCAGCGCAGCGCTAGCAGGGAGAGAGATGGAGACGAGAGAATTTGGGCAAGAAGGGGGTGGAATGAACCTGGACGGCATCCTACGCCAGGTGCATTCAAGACGGGAGAGGCGGTGGAGACGGGCAGCACCACGCTGCTGGTTGAGCACTGACGGATCAGAGGAGACGGCGGAAAGAGGATAGAACGGGTGAACCTGGTTGGACATCGGCGCCGGATGCATGCGCTGGCAGCGGGCAGATAGCGCAGTGGGGCACCATGGGGCTGCAGTGGTAGGAGGCCGCATCTATGGCTGGTGAATGAACCCAAGCGCAGCTTCGCACCGGGTACGTTCGAAGATTGGAACGATGGGTGATGAGGGAGAATGGCTGCTATTGGACACAGCATGAGCATGAGGTAGGGGGAGCTACACTACGGGTAGCGGAGACGAGGGGCGCAACTGCAGAATCATAGCGAGTGCTGAATCTGCATCAGGGCATGAATCCCGGGTAGGAGCAGTCGAGGTAGAAAAGTGGAGATGGCGGACAGGAGGCTGGACACAATGGGCAGGCCGCTTGGTCTGGTGCTGTCGGACTAAGGAGAGAGAAGCCGAGCTACGAATGACAAGGGGGGAGTCGGGAGACAGGACACAGGCAACGAAAACAGGCAGAAATAACGAGGGGACAGACTGACTGAACCTGGACGGGGAATACCGCCAGGTGCATTCAGAGAAAGATTGGCTATGGCAAAGTAAAGAAGACACAACTCGCCCGTTCCTTAACGGAATCGGGTGGAGTAAGAGCCGATTTTGGGGTTTTGAGGGTTGGCGAGCCCGAATCTGCTGTTGAAACAGGGCAAAAGTTAGTGTATGAATGGTTGGAAGGGGAAAAGAGTGCGATAAAGATGGTTGGAGGAGTTACGACAGGAAGTAAGAAAACCCGTTCTCGTTCGGTTTCGAGTGAAATCTAGTGAAGTGAAGTGATAGGTGAGGTTCCTCTTGTACTGCGTTGTAGTTAGGGGAGTTAGATATAGGTGGGGAGTGCCGGTTAACAGACTATAAGAAGGAAACACCACGCGAGAGTCTCGGGTGTGTGGGTATGGCAGCATGAGTTAAAGATTTCGCTTGGTTCCTAATAAAAACAAGCGAGAGAAGAGCTGTCCTGGGGTATCAAAGGGGTGGAGAATACGGTGGCTGTGTAAGACTTGGTGGTTAGCTTTTGAGGTTGGTATGAAGAAGTTGCGCTGGGGGATAGCTAGTCGTGTAAAAAGGGGGGAATGAATCTGACCGCTTTTGCGGACAGACCCATTCAACTTCTGCACTCCTTCCCAAAGGGAAGTGGTGTGAGGCCAGCAGCGGTAGTGACCACCTGCATCATTCGGCCGTCCATCCTGACCGTGGTAAGTGACGTGGCAGTCTTCCTCATTTACCGCGTGCCCACATTCGAAAATGTTGTTGATTACCTCTATGTTCAAACGTCGGATTCGCCATGGCTATCATGGTCATGGCGGTAGTGTTTTGGTTGTAGTCCTCTGCCATGATGGTGATCTCCACCACGCTCGTCGTCGTTAGCAACTTGTTATGTTCGCTATTCCCCTCCCAGCGGCGTGGTTCTGCTAATGTGGTTGAACCTGGACATGCGAGCTGCCAGGTCCGTTTGAACGCCGAGGTTAGTTGTAAGACATGCACAGACAGAGAGAGAGAGAGAGAGAGGAAGTAGGAGAGGAGACGTACCTGTTGAGTGGTGCGCTGCACATACGGACAGCGGAAGTAGCATGAGGACAACCGCAAGTTGGAGAATTACCGGGTGAAGAACGCTGTTTGCTAGCCATGATCTAACAGTCAGAGGGTTGGTGTGGGCCCGGCTGCGAGCCTGAAGACTCGCCCGTCTGGCCGAAAGGCTGCTTACCGAACTGAGCAGAGTGGCTGCAGGGGAGCCACAGAGTTCGAGGACCCACGTTACTGACTAACCCACTGCTCATTCTGCTGTGTAGAACGGCCTGAAGCCGGGGGGGGGGGGGTGCCTATTGATTCGTGTGGTGTCCAGTCTTTTTGAA